CCGTACAGCAGATATATATATAGTTATTGGATACAACATGGAGATGGAACAAATAAAAAAATTATGATAAAGTGGATACATGGTCCAACAATGGGAAGAACAATGGAAAAAATAAATAAAATTACTCTAAGCCACAATTTAAGGGAAAAGTGGTATAAAATATTTTACAGATGGTACTATATATAAATGTGTTATAAATAAATGTGGGAAACTACAAGAGGAAAGAAACATTCTGTCACATATGATGGTCTTGTAAAAACTAAGAAGTAGTGGAAAGTAATACATCAAAATATGGAGAAAATTCTCAAAATAAAATTTGGACTGAAACCACAGATACTTTAATTGGTATCTTTATTCTTGTGTATCTTTCTTAATAATTCCTTATAAAAAGAATAAATACATTATGTTAATAGGTTACAAATGTTATTAAAAAATTAAACTGAAAAAAGTGTTCATTCAACTTTGAATGAAGATATATTGACACATCTGGCTATATTATTGAACATGAATATGCAAATAAGATCAATTTTGATGAAGTATTTGACAGATTTGCAGAAATTAAGACTCAAAATCAGAAACTTGTTATTAATTTACTAGGACATACTAATATGTAGGTATAAGTTTCCCCTTTTTAAAAAAATGCATTAAGTTAATGAAATCATAATAATCCATTATTTTTCTTCCTTTTTTGTATTGTAATCTATTATTATTATTTTACTGGCATGATACAGTATTCAATAAAATATAATTTTCACTGTCTACCTTTCTTTTCTGATCATTATTTTTGTTTGTTTCATGTGATTATTATCTGAAAATAATTTTGTCATTCAGAGGAGGTAAGCGTTAAAGAATGACGCTCCAGGCATCTAATTTGTTAGGTACAGCATTGAAATGTACCCCTTCCCCTCCCCCCATCCAAAGGTAGTTAGAAAATGGGATATATTTCATATCTAGCTGGATAGTGAACGGCAAACACATGACACTGGAATGTAATATTGAGACTGTACTGCTCTCCTATCTGTCACACCATGTGAACTATTTGTGATACTATTGTCTGTTTTGTGCTAGTTGGAACCTCCTATCCACTGCAAGTCTTCATCCTTGGAGCAGATGGCTGAGGAAGAGGAGGAGGATGACTTGGATCTCTATGGGGGTTATACCTTTCGGCAATACAGCAGCAGTGAGGAGAGTGGCAGCACTTCCTATCTAGAAGATTCTAGTGAGAATGAAGTAGCAGATCATGAGGCTGGGGAAGTGCCTCCATCCCCTTCACAGATCCAGACCCCCAGCACCCACATGCCAGATGATAACGGATCTGAGCCAGGTACCACAATTCTCTTCTGTGACAATGGAAGGGCCCATCGTGGGGTTTGGAACAGTCTTGCTCTCTATAGAACATAGATGGGAAATGATGACAGAGAATGAATTAAAAATATTTTTCTATTAAGGGGAAAAAAGAGGGAAGAGTCCCAAGTTCCAGTAAAAATGATTTTACTGAGCCTGATGCATTTCAGAAATGAATTCCTTTCTCAAGGGCACTCTAAAAAAATAACACAGAAGAAAGGACTACAGTATTCCTTAAAATGGCTTACAACACACACAAAACTCAACTATACTAAAATGGGCTGTTTTTCTTATGCATACTTTGTTTCAATAAGTATCTGAAATACATACTTGAAGTTGTTAATCAACAGTCAAATATATTTATTAAAAAACAAGTTATTTTATTTGTTTAGCTTAATTACCATGAGCAAGAATGCAAGAGGCACGAAAACAAACATCTACAAGGAACATGAACATTCCTAAAATTTATTGCCTGCATTTACTTCCAATGCAGGTAGACAGTTGAAGTGAAAAGGCTCACACAAAGTCAAAATGAGGCCCAAAAATTGTTTTATCTTCTAAAATGTCTGTAAACTGATCCTCTACTGTACTGTGCAAAATTAAAGGAGATTGAGAACAGCCGTTGTGATTTATAGTGGAAAAAAGAATTCTTAAGGGGAAACACACATTCTAAATCTAAACAAAGGTGGACGCTGAAAGTCTTCATTAAGGATGAGACTATTCAGAAGGAAAAAAAAATTAAATAGTAAAACGGTCTCATTTTCATCTCAGTGGTGTTCTGTGACCTAAACACACACATCTGAGATGCAGTGTTTTTTACCTAAAAAGCGTTTCCCTGAAGGGGATCCTATTCTGTGCTTTCTTATATTGCCCAAGTGTTCTCCAATTCTGATCTTGCTCTAATAGATTTCCTCATACACTTTTTTAGGATAGAAACCCTGTATGGCATACACAACATGAATGCTGGTAGAAGTGGTGAACACTTGCAGGAGGTTTCTGTCCATTTCCAAGATTAGTGGAAAAAGTGGTTTTAGGTATATTTACAGCATGTCCAATGGCCACAGTGGACACCACTTAATGAATCAGGGTGTATAGAAAGAGAACAGTCCATTTTAATTAAATAGATAAATACGTAGATATTGTATGTCATTTTACATATTAAAATTTGTGATGGTTTTTATCTTTAGAGTGTCCTTGAAATAATAATTCATTTCCAAAATGCTCAGTTTCAGGAATTATAGGAGCAGCTTCAATAAAATCGTTTTTACTAGCACTTGGGATTCTTCCCTCCCTCCTTTTCCGTAATTTTCTGTTTAGGGAAACACCTTCTGTGCCAAGAGAGGACGTGGGGATAGTGGTAAGAGAGTGTGGCTGCCCAGCTCTACAGTATTCATGTAGGAAGCAGTACATATGGACATCTATAGTTCGTATCTTTGTTTAGAAAATGTTGGCACAAATATTTTATTGAAAGTTGTATATAGAAGAGGATTTCTATGCAGTTATATAATATACTAAGTAATATGCTGTTTGCATGACTATCTTATTGTAGCCTGAAATTGATACTGTTCATATGACTTTTTAGCATAAAGTGTTATGACAAGATTAGAGAAGTGTATTCATTGAGAGCCACATTCAGGTTAGTAGAATGATCTGATTAAAAATTCTAAAATGTAAGCAGTTAGATGTAAACTGTACTTAAAGCTTTACTTTAAGATGATATATATGTGCACTACGGCATATACTAGATTGTATCTAGTTTCTCACACTCTGCAATTCCAAAAAAATAAATAAATGATAATGGTGTATATAACTGGCTTCAGCTTCTTATGTTAATACAAAATCTTGCATCTAGTTAGTTAATCCCTACTATTCAAAGGGAGAGTGGGTGGTTATAAAGACATTTCCTAATTTATTTGGTTGCAACTTGAACATCAGTAATGCATCCAAGTCTAGCTTCCCATAAAGATTCTCTACCTAGCGCTTTTGAACTGGTTATCCCTATAGTAAACATACTTCATAAATTAGAGTGTCCTCTTGAAACACTGTTATATGGAACTAGACAACCCTGTGACCCGTTGGGTTATCCTTTAAGAGAAAGGTAGTGCAGTCTGATGTGACCAGAATGAACATTAAATTTTAGGCTGACCGTATTTTTTTTACCCCAATGCTG